CAAGCCTTCTTGCCTTGGCTTTCGCCATCACCTCCAGCTTCTTTTTCCTGACTATTTTGGAATACAATCCTTCCTGTGCAACCGTGTTCTGATTTGGTGTCCTTGTGCAGTGGTTTGTGTCAAGAATACTGAGCAATAAGATTTAGCCGGGAAATATCTTAAGCAACCGTTACAACAGAAGTGTGGGTAATAATGCATGTTAGAATTATACAGGAGACTGCAACTCTTTCAAGATTCCCTGGTTAGTATGAGACAAAGGTCTATGGTTTCTTGTTGAATATGGTGTCTGTCAATAATTCTCATCGACTGCCCAGCAGTGATTTTCTTAAGGAGACACTCCCTAGCCTTTCACTTACAGGTCTTATTCAGTCAGTCAGTTATAACGTAGAACTTCATAGATGTGTAGTACATCAGTTGAGGTTGCCATACCACATTAGCACAGAGATGCAATCGTCAACTCAAATCCCATAGTAGTAGAGGTAGTAGAAGTATAAGCAGTAATCGAAAAGATTCTGGTTTTAAGATACTGTGAAATAAATTTAGAAAGAAGAAGGTAGACGTGATGAGCAATTCTGAAGATTAGAATTTAAGAGAAGACAAAGAATGGATGCACCTGCACCATTGCAAACGATTTTGAGCCATATCATTCAAGGTCTCTAACCGTAGGTTAGTATCGTCTCGCGGACCCCAACCATGATTCAGTTCAGTTGTCAGTGACCATGTTTTGGTTTGGTCGTTCCTAGCTTTCTTCCAACCTACAGAACAGCTCATCAAGGCAGTTTCTTGTTGAACATTTGAAGCACACGTCACAACCACCTCAACTGACGAAGTCCTAATATTCCATCTATTGATCTGTAATCCTTACCTAGTACCCGTTTCCTAATAGCAGCATTGTATACTTGATCGTCTCAGGATACGGGAGGAATGCTTCGAAGACATCTGTGATCGGAAACCAGTAACCTATAATTATCTTCTATTCTTACTGGACGTGCTTCACTGTCATAAAGTAGACATCAAATGTGATAGTATCTATCTTATTGAAAAGTATGAACACGTCAATAAATGTCATGGGTCGCCCAATCGTAGGAAATCATTTTCTTAAGGAGCCACTCCCGAGCCCTACACCTGTAGGTCTTATACACAAAACATTGGAGCAACGTGGACAAATGTAGTCCTATTGTAACCGGTGATTAACCAAAGGTTCATGCATCAAATGTTTCAACAAAGTCGTGGGGTGCATGTACTCCATTGATTTGGAATTAGGGTTTTTCAGCTCATCCAGAAGATATACGTGTTTATTAACAGTTGTCTATTCAAAGTACTTCGTATCCAGTGGCCAGACACCATCAGGCATAACCTACGATGGGAGAGAACAAACCACATTCCAGTGGAGGAATAAATCAGAAAGAAGTTCTGAAATTGGATAGGACACACATTGTGGAAAGCACCCAGCTGCGTCACAAGACAAGCCCCCACTTGGAACCCTTAAGGTCAAAAGAAAAGAGGTAGGCCAAGGAACATATTACTCCGAGAAATGGAGACAAACTTGAGAAGAACAGAACTAGGAAGGGAAGTCCAGGACAGAGTCGGTTGGAGAATTTAGGAGATAACAGGCGTAAGTAAGTAAACTCTCCCAAATAAGATCGTCTGTACCCACCGACCGGGGTAAAGTCGCCGTTGAACATTTACTTTTCGTCTTCTGAATTTCGTGGCAATGGAATCTAGGATGCCCTTTCTGTCTGGTTAACATGATGACGTTTGAAGCAAACATCCTTGAGTTTGTGTCTCAAAGTGAACTTCAACTCTTAGTCCCGACCAAGATGAACCGCACATCCTTGATTCCACTGCTAGTCACTCACGTATTCGACGTTAATTTTGCATTAACATTGTTTATGAATCATTCCATTGATTGGCAACGTCAGTGAGTTCATTGTGATTGATTAAAATAGTGAATATATATATATATATATATATATATATATATATATATATATATATATATATTAGGCATTTGAAATCATCAATCATTGTTAGACCACCATTAGAAACCTGGAAGCACTGGAAGGCCGTTTCGTCCTGGTATTCGACTCATCACCAGTACGCATCCACGACTCCTGCTCCCCGCAGGATTCGAACCAGGGACCTTCGGCATTGTAGGCGAACGCCTTACCATCGGACCACTGGGCCGGCATTCAACGGTGTCAATGTCTAACTCTGATTGATCTTGGTTGCGCACTGCTGATGAGTCCCATACCAGGACGAAACGGCCTTCCAGTGCTTCAAGGTTTCTAATGGTGGTCTAACACAATGATTGATTGATGATTTCAAATGTGTAAAAACGCAAACCTCCAAAACTCTGCCCCAAAGTATATATAACTGTTTTGATGGGGAAAAAAATCAACCCAAACGATCAGCAGAAGCTAAGTCAACTGCAAGCACCTACAAATGAACCTATCGGAAATGATAGAAAGATTAATGAAGTCTTTTGGAAGAGAATATAGCACATCAATACAAACGACAAAATGACAATGTCGTCTATGTGATGAACACCAATTAGTAGTAGTAGCATGAGATATTTTCCCTTATATATATCAGTCAGTACATGTGAACACAATTGCGGACATGCATTTGATTGGGTAAAATGTTGAATTTATTAGATAGAGGGAAAGAAGAATGAAGAACACTAGGGAATTTTTTTTTAGATGTTTGCCATTCAGGTTGATCAGCAAACAACAAATACGATCACACTGACCTAAATTACCAACCAACCACAAGAGTTTTAGACACGCACAAGATCAAGAACCGAATCAAAAGGGGAAGACAATGTGAAAGTGATGAGGTAGATAATGACATGTTAAAAAAGGGGAATAACAACCAATTAAGATTGAGGTCAATAGATAGATGGTAGATCAATAGATGAAGTGGTGAAACTTCATCAGTGTAGGTGGTTGGGACATGTGTTACGAATGCCTAACCACCGACTGCCTCGACGAGCTATATTTTGTGATGTAGGAGTAGGTTGAAAGAAAGGTAGGGGTCGCCAGACCAAAACGTGGAATAAATCTATGAAGTCACTGACAGGTTGATTGAGTCATGTTGGTAGATTCAGGCTAACTGGTTGGTGTCTACGACACGAAAGTCACCGATTGTTAGAGACGGACGACTTGGCTCGAAATCGTTTGTAATGGCTGGGGTGCATCCATTCCGTGTTATTCTAAATTTAGATCTTCACAATTCCTCATCATCTTAATTTTTCTCTTTCTAAACTTATATCACTGAATTATACTTCTTGGATAACGTCTTCGATCCCTAGTATTCTTCTTTACCACTAATTCTTCTACTTTCTCTACCATTATGTGATTTGAAGTGTCAATTGCGTCTCTGTGCTGATGGGTTATGATAACTTGACCTTACTTACTTACTTACTTACTTACGTACGAAGTTCTACGTAGTAACTGACTTACTGACTAACTGAGGTAATCAGCTCAAGCTAAAAGTCATACTTGGTGAGATTCGACTACTTCACTTTTATCCACCTGAAATGTGTACTGATAATGTTGTTGTTCAGAAGAAGAACAATGATAAAAATACCATAACCAAACCATTATCCAGCTCAGGGAACGAAACTCCAACTTAATGAACAAATTATGCATATACTTTCTATCTAGGTCATCTTTGTTTTTTTTCGAACATGCATAACTACCGACTGGCCTCATCGAGCTATGTTTTGCGGTGTAGGAATCGGTTGGAAGAAAGCTACGGGCGGCCAAACCAAAACATGAAACAAATTCATGAAATCACTGACAAGTGGACTGAGTCATGTTGGTAGATGTCGACTATCTGATTGGTGCCCGCGAGATGATAATAATCTATGGTTAGAGACCTTGAATGACATGGCTCGAAATTTTTTGCAATGGCGCAGATTCATCCACTCTTTGCATTCTCTCAAATTCTAATCTTCTGAATTCCTCATCACCTCTATCTTTTTTTTTAAGTTTATTTCAGTAGATCCTACTGCTTGAATAATGTGCTCGAACCCTTATCTCCGATTACTACTCATACTTTGAAATTTATCTCACAGAATGATCAGATTCAGATTTCGCCTGTTACCCCCAATAGAGCAAAGGCCGCCCAACAGTTTTCTCCAACCAACTCTGTCCTTGCCTTCCCTATCCAGTCCTGTCCAATTTTGCGTTCATTCTTCTCATGTCTGTCTCCATTTCTCGGCGTAATGTGTTCTTTGGCTTTCCTCTTTTCCTTTTGCCTTGAGGGTTCCATGTGAGTGCTTGCCTTGTGACGCAGTTGAGTGCTTTTCGTAGTGTGTGTCCTATCCACTTCCACCACTTCTTCCTGATTTCCTCCTCCACTGGAATCTCGTTTGTTCTATCCGCCTGTAGACCCTTCGGAGCTACTGCCGGACCGAAGCCCGGATAAAGGAGGAGGGGTTGGACATCCCAAGTAAAAACTAACTTGCCAAAAAAAACGCTAATCAGAACAAATAATTCACAGAACTATACTTCTTGAATAATATCTTCGAACCCTAATCTTCTCCATCGCTGTTAATATTTCTACTATATCTATTACTATGAGATTTGAATTAACAATTGCATCTGTCTGTGCTATTGTGCAATATCAAGATGAACTGATATACGTATGTACGTACGAAGTTCCAGGTTGCTATTCATATTAATATTGACTCGTTGTAAATCTTAGTTATTTTTTCAAAATTATATATTGTTTTTTGATAATCAATCATTTTGATGAACATGTTCAAACAATTTTCTATCCAGGACAACAAATACTCAATGTCTATGAATCCGATATCTAAGTGCTTCATCTTTGTTTCATTGTTTTTTTCTAAATATTGAACTTTGAACAGTTAGTTATACCATTTTTTTTTTTGTTTATCTATTCGTTTGCATGCATCTACTACAGCATCACATTCATGGTTACATTATGTTGTGGCAAATTATCTCAGTCCATGTATATTATCCGGTTGGATGAGACCATGCATTTTCATACTTAGTTTAGCATGGTTATGTTATGCTATAGCTATCTTACCGAATGGATTACATTTAATACTTGATCAAAAATTATCTATGCCAACAGATTCATACTTGTTGGATTATTTCAATGCGCTGAATAATGATTTACGTGTTGGTCCACCAGTATATTTTGTTATTACAGAAGGACATAATTTTACTACTATAGATGGACAAAATCAAGTATGCGGTGGTACAGGTTGTTTGAATACATCATTATTACAAAAAATTAGTAGTGCATCTGTTTATGCTAATCGGTAAGTTTGATGACAATAAAATGAAATGAAATTGTAGAGTTCGTACGCTTGAAGCTAGCTAATTACAAGTTCCCCTAAATCGATAAAACGTGAATGAGACAATGAATCAGCGTCCAGATAGGGTGGCTACCTTGAATCCTAAGCTGAAGATAGAAAGCTTTGTAAGCGTAGAAAGTATATGCTACACACATCCAGCAATCACAATACAACTCTCGTTTATTTATTATACATCATAGAAATGTCCTTGGGACAGTTAAGAAAATAGGAACACTAAAATAACACAGCAACCAATCACAGCCATGGATTCTGTTGGTGGGAAATGAAATCTCAAGGTCAACTGACCAGCCCATGCTTGCAAACGTGAAATCCAAATTTATTTATCAAGAGAGTTTTGGGGATTTAACATTCCCAACAGAAACGAAAACCATTAGAAACTTGAAACCACTGAAAGATGACTGTTTTGATCCTGGTATGCGACTGCTTATCAGTGGCAGTGCGCATCCATGACGGGATTAGAACCCAGGAACTTTGGTGAACTGTTTTATCTGTTACAACTTATGACGTAATCTTATTATTTATGAATATTGTATAGTAGATCACAGATTGATGATATTTATTGTTCGGTTGTGGTAATAATGATTGTAGGATTTAATTTGTCCTACAGATGTATTTCTAGAACTGTAAACGCAATATTGGCGAGCACAGAGTCTATGAGAAAGCTATAGTCAGAACAAGACCAATGTCGCTTTAAACTTTACCTGTTTCCAAACATAAAAACAATTAAATTAGTACAATAAATAAGGAAATTACAGTTACCAGGTGAAACCAGTAAACATACCGACCAATATAGCGTGTCTTATGGAAATGAGTAAAGTTATGAGTCACATCAATATAATAAGATAATAACGCCCTTCAATTAGTGGGTCATTTACAACAAAGAAAGTTTACAGACACATCAGATCAGATCACTTGGTGGGCGCTTAAACCACAATTTGATTGGTTAGTTATGACATAATTACAATTAGTTATGGAAATAATTAACAATGATAAGAAATGAAGTTTATAATTTAATCTTTCTGGTGATAAGATACAAACTTGTTGCGCAGCAGTTCGCTCCGTCTTAATATATGAATGCAAAAAATGGCCGGTAAGGGTAGAAGATACTCGTCGGTTATTGGTTTTCAATCATAGGTGTCTTCGAAGCATTGCTTGTGTATCCTTGGACAACCGGGTAATCAATGTTGTCGTTAGGAAAAGAGTACTAGGTAGGAATAGCAGATCAGTTGATGAAGTAGTAAAACTCCATCAGTTGAGGTGGTTAGGAAATGTATTACGAATGCCCAACCACTGACTGCCTCGACGAGCTTTGTTTTGTAGTGTAGGAATAGGTTGGAAGAAAGTTAGGAGCGGCCAGACCAAAACATGGCAGAAATCCATGAAGTCATTGACGAGTGGACTTAGCCATGTCGGTAATTGTCGACTACCTGGTTGGGGTCCGCGAGATGATAATAATCGATGGTTAGATACCCGTTTGCAATGGCGCCGGGGCATTCAATCTTTGTATTCTCTCGAATCCTAATCTTCTGGATTCTTCAACACCTCTAGTTTTGACTTTCTAAACTTTTCTCATTAAATCATACTTCTTGAATAATTATCTTCTAATCTTAACCTCTCCGATTACTTCTAATACCTTTACTACCTACCTCTTCTACTATTGGATTTGAATTGACAATTACATCTCTGTGCTAATGTGGTATGGCAACATGAACTGATGTACTTACGTACGAAGTTCTACGTTGCATCTGACTGATTGATAAGTTAGCAGCAACGCTTATGTATATGTATATACTTTTTGGTTTTATATAATATGAATTCTTATTCACCGTTAAGAAAAAATAAACGACTGATATTTGTGTGATTTTTTAGAATTATTTATTCATGCAAATTTATGTATTGTTTATACTATAATTAGTTATGAGAATGGTTTTTATTTTTTTTCATACCAACCAGTAAATAATTTACTGTGAGAGACGACGACACTATGATGAATAAATCAATTCTATTTTTGTAAATAGCTGACGTCATAAATTGATTTAAGTTAAATTTATATTAGAAAGTTAGAAGTACTAG